TTTTTTTTTTTTTTTTGTAAAATAGACGTTTTATTTATTTGTATTTAAACTTAAAAACCAACCAGCCAAATTGGTATTATCATGATACAGCAAAATATAAAACATCTTTTACAAATACTTAATAAACAAATTAAGGGACATAGTAAAACAGCAAAAGGGGCAGAGGAAATGAGTAAAGCATATTATAGCTTAACCATTTACCTGAATTGAAGTTTTTAGCAAGCCTCCCGATTCCAGAAAATAGGAATAATCCTTTATGACACACCTTTGTATTTTTACTTTCTATTCTTGAGGCTAAGATTCTAGATCCTAGAGTTATCCAAAATAGTATTATATCCAATTAGAGCCAGAGACATCTTCTATCCTTTGTCTATAGCAGCAAGGCTACAGAAACCTCTTTGATTAGACTCCAGTCATGCCCCACTCCCACCCCTCCAAAGTGGCACAATGGGCACTATAAGAAGCAGCATATCAAGGCAGAGATACAGAGAAAACTCCTAGGAGAGGCAACACAGCCACGGCCCAAATGGAGACTGAATGATATACCCATCGGCACAGCGTGTGTTCATGGCTGTATGTTTGTGGAGTCAGGCTGCATGTTCATGGAGTAATCTGGGAATAAACCCATGGTTTGCTGGGTATTACAATACTTAGCAGTTTGCAGTATTTCATCATAGGTTTTCCCCAGCAGTTTCCATGTGGCCTCCAATTTGCTGACAGGGTTTTGCTGGAACTGGGTCTGGGGCTGCAGGGATTCCTCTCCATAATTATGGAACTGGTTGCTCCAGGCCTGGTTGTTGCAGGCTTGGGGCCACCAGGTCTGACTATTCCAGGAATGGTAGTTCCAAGATGGCCTGTTCCAGGAATGTTGCTCCAAGGTAGGTTACTGCAGGTCTGGTTGCTCCACATCGAAACGTTTGTAGAAGCGCTTACCAGGCATCCCTGGTGACAGGAAGAGAGGCCCAGGTACTCAGTAGTTGCTGAGCTCACCTGGGTCATATGGTTGCTGTTCTTTGGCCAGTTGTATTTCTGCCACCTCTTGCATTTCATTCTCTTGTTCTGGAACCAGGTCTTAATCTGTTTGTAGCTAAGGTTCAGGATGGTGGAAAGCTCTTGCATCTGCTGGAGGCTGAGGTTTTTCTGTCTCTGAAATCTCTCATTGAGTACACAGAGCTGGGTCTGCGAGAACAGGGTTCTGATCTTCTGCTTCTTGGCCAGGGCCTTCTCCTCCTTCCCTGTGCTGTTCTCCACGGAAGTGGGTAGTGTTACCCTGGGACTAGTGGAAGAGTCAAGGCTGTTCTGAATAAGCAGATCCATGGAGGAAGGAAGAGGAGAGACAGTCTCTGTGTGGAGTGTCTCAGCTCATGACATTTGCATGGATGCATAGTTTTCTTCAGGCTCATAAATCTCAGGCACTGGTGAAGGCTCCCTAGAATTGGATAATTTGGAACAGGGCAGACTTTGGGGACAAGCCGAATCGACACTCATCTTGCTGAGTTGAAGGAGGGAGGAAAGCACCAAAGAGCTAGATTGTAAGAAAGGCCTGGGCTTAAGTATCTAGATAGAACAGTTTAGAGACAATACAAAGATCTCTAGATGTAAAAGTATGAAAAAGATGGGAGGAAAAGAGTCAGCTTTGCAGTAACAGGAGCCAACCAGCCAATTTTGAGAAAACTTGCTAGCTCTTTGTACAGAAGGAATCCTATCGTTAGCATATTCCAATTCTCCAAATTTAAATGGATTTCATGGTCAACCTGGTTTGGGCTTCGATACGACTTTCTAGGCTGTGAACCAAGTGAAATCGGTAGAGCCTTTGAACCAGCAAGATGCTCATTTTAAGTTAAGGAGATTGAAGCCTGGAGTGGGGCCACAGGTAATCAATGCTTGGGCCAGAGGCAGAATCCCAACTCTGAAAGGTCCCAGCCCTGGACTTTCACCAAAGGCAAGGAGCCACTGAGGGATTCTATCTACTCTGACAATGTGAGATTAACCCTCACCAACAACAGGTGTTTTTTGAAACTTGGGGTGAGGAAGGGGAGCTATCATGTTCCAAGTAGAGAGCTACTCATTTTCTTAACCTTGTATGTAAACAAATTCAACATTCAAAGCAGGAGTCACCTGATAGATCAGTGGTACTACAGATAGAAGCCCTTTTAGGAAAAAACCCCAAAAGCTCCTTTATAAAGCAATTATACAGGCTGATGCATCACAAGAAAAAAGGGGTCAATGGGTAGGCCCTAATTATCCTACCAGAGGCCTGAATTAATGATGTTACATTACTAATGGGAACTCGAGGCTCACTTCATGAATGAGTGGGGTCTCTCTCTCTTTCTCTCTCTTGCAAAAATTTTCTTCCAGATAGGAAAGTTTGAGAAAGCAAAAAGCATAGTAAAAAGATCCATCAGAAGGTAGAAAAACACAACAACCTGGAGAAGGAGTCATCTTTCAAGTGGCATTGGTCATGTTGGGACAATAATTGCCCGTCTCAAGTGGAGGCGGAAAGTGGTTTGAACTTGACACTCCCAGTATTTCTATAGGGTCTCTTCAAGGGAGGGGCGTGGGACAGGCACAGCACCATTTCTCAATGCACAGATTTCAGTGCAAAGAAGTGTCACTCATCCAGAGTCAATATATGGCAGTGAGGAGGGAATCTCATGAAGTTAAATAGCTATAGGATTATAAATCTGGGTCCTTAGAAAGGACCTGGTCTGATTGTCTCATTTTACAGATGGGAATTCTAAGCAGGAGAGGGTGGGGGAGAGAGAGAGAGAGAGAGAGAGCTTTCATCTGCATTGTGCATTGAGCAGTCACATCTAGCGTGAAAGCACACTCTACTTCAATATACTCACTCCCTGCAAGAGGATGGCAGGAAAAACATTCTACCTAGGGATTATTATTAACCAAGCAAGGCTCATGGGTACTAAGAGAGAAACTCTGGAATTATTTGAGAATCCCTTGAATAAAGTGTGCCCTCTCTCCTGCAGTCCACAACCCAGTTTGCCCCATCCGGAAAGATTTCGATAAACTTGCATGGATTACGTTGGCTGTGGATGACCCTGGGTGGAAACACATTCAATGTCTTGCTCACACCTCACCAAGGAAGTGACTAGGTCAGGTGGCTCAAGGAAAAATTGGTGCTAACAGTATCTAAGATGTGGTGAGATACTGTGTGAGATACTGTGTGGTGAGACTGCTTAATACATAATGATTTTTGGCAGTTATTTAAATTCCTTAGACTTTAATTTTCTTCATCTATAAATTGAGGCAACTAAAGCCTACCTCATAGGGTTGTTGTAAAGGTTAAATGAAAAATTGTAGCTAAATATTAGAATAGTACTTGGCAAATAATAATTGCCCATTAAAATGTTAATAGCTTTCATTAGAGTGCCTGTAAATTCATGCACACACACACGCACACACACAAGGAGACACACACAAGCAAACACATACACACACATGCAAACACACAGCTATAACCATGAGTTTGGATGTAGACACTCTCATGGGAGTTAGGCCAATGACTTCTAAATAAAAGAGTTAAGTATTTGACTCAGTCTGTTCAACATCAGGGGTATCAGCCAGCAAAGTCTGCTGAGCTTGCCACTGGATAATCCTGTCATTCAGTGTTACCATGGTTACCATAGTTCCCTGCCCAGGACAGAGTATACATCATGCGCTCCACTCGGGGCACCCTGTCTCTGAGCTCTGCTTCACTGTCGCTTTCTCTGTGAAGTCTCTCCTGATTAGTCCAACCACAGTGCTGACTCTCCCTCCTGATTTCCTGTAATATTTATAACCTGTGCCACTCACTTCATATTTAGTATTTATTGTGTTACATTGATGAATTTTAGTCTTTTTGTGTGCATATATTTTCCAGATAAGACTGTAAACCTTTGGGGACAGCATTACTCCCCTTTGTTACTACGTTACTCACTTTTGTATGCCCAAACCCAGAGCCAGGTGCCTGGCACGTAGAATGTGTTCAATAAAGTCCTTTGATTACACAACCAAAGGTTTGATGATACTGGCTTTTCCAATTCCCACATGACCTGGTACTTAACTAGCAACCTCAATGGAGCTGACCTATTTCCACAAACATCGCCTCCTTGATCTTCCTTACTGGAAAAGATGTCACAGAACTGCCTTTCACTTACTGATGCCTCCTTATTGTCAACATTTCCCCTGGTAGTATTTAAATGGAGGCTTGCATTGCATTTGGAGGCCAAGAAGATATAATAGAAGACAATAGAAGAGAGATGGGTGGGGCTATTTGGTGATGAGAAGGACAGTCCAAACTGGCCACCCTGGTCCAGCCAGTGTTGCTCAGAGGTTGAGTGGCCACTCAAGAACCAGGAGGTCATGGTTTGATTCCTGGTCAGGGACATGCCTGGGTTGCAGTCGATCCCCAGTAGGGGGCATGCAGGAGGCAGCTGATTGATGATCTCTCTCATTACTGATGTTTCTGTCTCTCTCTGCCTCTCTCATCTTCTCTCGGAAACAAATAAAAACATATTAAAAAAAATTTTTTTTAATAAAGAAAAACTGGCCACCCTGTCTGAAGCCAGGTCATGTGATGTTTCCTGCAGGTGTAGACTGTGCCTTCTGGTTTGATGTCCCCATGGCCAAGGCCCCAGATA